TAAAAAAAAAAAAAATCATAAGTACTTTCATGTCTTAATTTTATAGAATAATAGAATCAAAGGTTATGCTAAATCACATTTTGGTAACTTCACTATACGAGTTTCAGCATGAGAGCAAATGTCAGCACCTTTTTTTTTTTTTGGGACACAGACTAAATATGTGGCCCTTGATAGAGAGCCATCACAGCTCACAGCAACCTCAAACTCTTGGGCTTAAGTGATTCTCTTGCCTTAGCCTCCCAAGTAGCTGGGACTACAGATGCCCGCCACAACTACAATGCCCAGCTATTTTGTTGTAGTTCTCATTGTTGTGTAGCAGGCTCAGGCCGGGTTCAAACACACCTGACTTGGTGTATGTGGCCAGCGCCCTACCCATTGAGCTATGGGGGCCAGGCCATGAGCACCTTTTTTCATAGCATCTAGTCCTTTACTGATGAGAATGTTATACTGTCCAGGAGGTCAGAGCAATGCTGAGCTACATAGGTAAGCATGTTTCTAAATTTGCTCTGAGCGGTTTAGATCACTTGCTACAAATCGAACAGTTTTACCAAGTTTCTCAAACCTGAGGAAACAAGTTTTGGAAAGGTCTTTAAGGGTAAGTCACTTAGTAAAATTCATACTGTGTTCTCAGGAAAATCTAACTCATTTTAGAAAGATGAATTTCTGCCTTAATCAGGAAGGATTTTAGCTAGGCGTGGTGGCTCACACCTAGTGCTAGTGCCTAATCCTTGTACTTCCAGTTTGAAAAACAGCAGTAATAGGTTTTTGTTTGTTTGATTGTTTGTTTGTTTTTGAGACAGAGGCTCACTTTGTCACCCTCGGTAGAGTGCCATAGCATCACAACTCACAGCAACCTCAAACTCTTGGGCCAAGTGATTCTCTTGCCTTAGCGTCCCAAGTAGCTGGGACTACAGGTGCCTGCCATGATGGCCCAGCTATTTTTAGAGATGGGGTCTCATTCTTGCTCAGGCTGGTCTCGAACTGGTGAGCTCAGGCAATCCATCTGCATCAGCCTCCCAGAGTGCTAGGATTACAGGCATGAGCCACCTCGCTCAACCTTAATAGTTGATTTTTTAAAGTACTATACTCAAAATGGCTGCTTTTAGGGAAAGCATGCTTTCAAATTAGAATGGTGGACTCAACTACCATGAATTTTTGTAGTCTTTCCTTTGTAAAAGGCATAGTATGTGTCTAAAACATTTCATAATCTTTCAAATTGAGAAACATATAACCAGCTAACTTTTGTTAGGGTTAGTGATTCAACGTATTTATGGCAGAACCAGAAAAAAGAACACATATATTTAAAGTGAAATTTTTTTTTTTACTGTATCAGTGTATACTGTATGTTATTTCTAGGTACCGTAATCAGAGCAGCTCCAAAAATAATGTAGGGTTCTTGCTTTAGCAGCACATATACTAAAATTGGAATGATACAAATAAGCAAAAATAATGAAGGAAAATTTCACAAAAAATAGGAAAATAACAAAAATACATAGGGAAAGATGAATTTGGAATATTCCAAAGTCCAATTTGTTCAGTGGAGTGTTATTTACTTTAAGGAGATATGATAAATTTGTCATTAATAATTCACATGCTGAGGAAGGCTGCCAAACTGAAATCATTTTTCTTACATAAGTTAAATAATTCTTTTTTTTTTTTGAGACAGTCTCAAGCTGTTGCCCTGGGTAGACTGCCATGGCGTCATAGCTCACAGCAACCTCCAATTCTTGGGCTCAAGCAATCCTCTTGCCTCAGTTTTTCTGTTTTTAGTAGAGATGGGGTCTCTCTTTTACTCAGGCTGGTCTTAAACTCGTTAGCTCAAGCTATCCAACTGCCTCGGCCTCCCAGTGTGTTAGGATTACAGGCGTGAGCCACCACACCCAGCCATAATTCCTCTTATTTACATCATACATTTAATGATTTTATCATGTCCTTTCTTAAAAATAGAAAGGTAGAACTGGGTGTGGTTGTGCATGCTTATCATTCCAGCTACTTGGAAGGCTGAGGTGGGAGAATCACTTGAGCTGAGGAGTTAGAGGCCAGACTGGGCAACATAGTGAGACTTCATCTCTGAAAAAACACAAAAACAAAACAACAATGCAATACAAGGATAAATCTCAAATTTATAATCAGATTGGTACTAGTTTCAAGTTATTAATGACTTAGTGAGATATCATTGAACTGTCATTTTAAATGCTTTTGTTGACTTTTGTTTCTCTTATAGAGAAGAAAACTGCATCTCAGCCCTGAACAATGTAGTAACTTTTATGTGGAACAATATGGAAAAATGTTTTTTCCTAATTTAACAGCTTATATGAGTTCTGGGCCACTTGTTGCCATGATATTAGCTAGACATAAAGCCATCTCTGTCTGGAAAGAACTCTTGGGACCAAGTAATAGCTTAGTAGCTAAGGAGACACACCCAGACAGGTAATTTTCCTAGGGAATGAGGGAGGGTGGGGGTGGGTAAGATAAAATTTCTGTGGAGACCAGGCGTGGTGGCTCATGCCTATAATTCTAACACTCTGGGAGGCTGAGTCAGGTAGATTGCCAGAACTCAGGAGTTCAAGACCAGCCTGAGCAAGAGTGAGACTCCCATCTCTAAAAATAGCCAGGCGTTGTGGCAGACTGCATCTACTCAGTAGGCTTAGGCAAGAGGATTGCTTGAGCCCAAGAGTTTGAGGTTGCTGTGAGCTATGACAGGACAGCACTTTAATGAGGGGGGCAAAGTGACACTCTGTCCCAAAAACAAAACAAAACAAAAATCCCAGAAATCTATCTGTGGAAATGAAAAACAAATTGTTTTGATTTTATTGTGATGGGAATTTCTTTCTTTTTTTTTTTTT